AACAAAACAAAATTACAAATATAGAGTAAAAAAAATTATGTTTGTGTATATTTTTTTTTAAAGAGAAAGTGGGGAGGGGGGAGGGGGGAGGGTTTGAAGCCCGTTAAACATTTGAAGTAGAAGAGATGAAGCCTGGATGAAGCCCCAGGGGGCGGTGTTTAACGCCCCCTGGGTTTCAAAAGTAACATAACGCCGAGTGGCGTTACATGTATTACCAGTGCTCTTATGGTCGACTTGAGGGAGTGTAAAGAGATATGAGTGATAAAAATATACTCTCTATTTGTTTAGAGATATGAAAGAGAGGCGACCAAAAAATGATACTTCCTCCATCCCAAAATATTCACAACATTTACTTTTTCAGCAGTTGCGGGAACTTTTGTTTATTTCGACGTTTTCATTGGTTATTTGATAAAATAAAATATTCTTAACACCTCTTATTTCGAAGAACTTTTCATGTAGTTTTTTGATATGTAAGTTTTATTTTTTATTTCTATATCAACATGTAAATAAAATGAATTGAAAAAACTTGATATTTTTCTTCGGGAATACAAATGTGGCAAATATTTAGGAACGGAGGGAATAGTATAAAGATGTAGATTATTTTGATTCCTTGAAATTAAAAACAGAGAGAGAAAAGAGAGGCCACGGGGAAATGGCATCAAGCCCCTCTGATGAAGTGCCAGGCGGTGAGTTAGGCGTGAAAGAGGTAGTGGAGCCCTCCTCATATGCCATGGTAACATCAGTGTTTTGAAGACCGGACCGGACCGGTCGGTCCAACCGGTCGACCCGCGAACCGGCAACAAATCCGGTCCGGTTCACTGAAGAAACCCAGCTCCTTTTTTACCCGCCCAAACCCGTCGGATCCGGTGAATCGGGTGACCCGGGTCGACCCGTCCGGTTCCCGGGTTTAGGCTTAAATCTACATTTTATTAAATTTTTAGACATAAAAATTAAAAGTGGTGGCTGGGAATCAACCCCAACACCTCCCGTATACTAATTCAAGTTGTCAACCAAGTGAGCTACTCAATCTTTGTTCAAAATCTAGGTATCAATCATATGTATTTAGGGTTTTACAAAAGGTTCATACAAAATTAATACTAGTATGTAGTTTTTGTGCAAGTGTGAATTATTTGTATTTATGAACTTTTAAAATAGTTTTAAAAATTGAGAATAATTTAATTTTTATTTGAAAATAAATATACTCTGTATATTTTATATTTAAAAAATTGTTGTCTTCAAAAATTAAGTAATATTATTAATTACGGAGTATAATTTAATATGCTATATTTTTTATTTTCAATCATTTTAATCAACTAAATATTAACTTTAAAATGTCATNTTTGTATTTATGAACTTTTAAAATAGTTTTAAAAATTGAGAATAATTTAATTTTTATTTGAAAATAAATATACTCTGTATATTTTATATTTAAAAAATTGTTGTCTTCAAAAATTAAGTAATATTATTAATTACGGAGTATAATTTAATATGCTATATTTTTTATTTTCAATCATTTTAATCAACTAAATATTAACTTTAAAATGTCATATGTATATAAGAATAAAATATACAGTCTTTAATTTTAGAAAATATGAGTATCGCCTTATTATTTAAGTATTTGTTAGAGATTCAGTATTAACTTTTCATAATAATAAAAATAATAAAATAAAAATCGAAGGTGTGAAATATAATATGTATAAGGATATTAAAAAAGAGATGGAGAAATAATAACATAAATTAAAATATTTTATTAACTAAAAATATCTAATATATCATAAAATATTATTATTATAAACATAGTTGACCGGGTCGTTGAATCCCGGTTCGACCGGTCAACCCTTGACCCACTACCTCGTCCGAGTCGACGTCTGGTCCGGTTTTCAAAACATTGGGTAACATACGACCTTGTAGCTTTTTTTAATTAAGCTTCTTTGGGAATAGCATTTTCGATTAGTCTTAGCGTCTTATATACAAAAATTAATGTTGTAGATTAATTCTAAAAATATTGACACTAGAATTACCAATAGATAACTTTTTCAAAATGTCAATGTTAAACTCCAACTTTGTTGCTAAATAGAACCTTAAATTTTCTAAAATTTTAAATAAAAATTTTCAAAAGAATTAAAATCATTCTTACTAATGATAAATGGGTTACCGACGATGGAGTAGACGACAGTAGTGGCAGCCAATCACACGAGTGGTAAGCACTTCAGGGATATTAAACTTTTAAATCGATATCTCCCAAATTTATGAATTGTCAAAATTTCCTCATATGAAAAGATTTTGATATTTGAACATATCAAAGCTATTAAAAGTCATATTTTTTACTAACCAAAGAGGCCTTAAATTCATATTTCACTCATCAATCATCATTCCAAATCTATCGTAGTAGTCATTTCAAACTAACACAATATTTAAAAAAGTATTAAAAAAATTAAATATTTATACTTGAAATTAATTTGAAATAGAGAGAAATATTAATGAACATATATTTCTTCCCAAAAAACGAAAATAAATTACTACTTTGAGACGAACAAAAAAAGAAAGTGTTATTTATTTTTGGGACAAATAATTTTTTTATAAGTCAAAGAAATTTAACTAAATTAACGTGAGACTTAAGACGTCTTATTGGTAGAAACCCAATATTAATTGAGGAAAAAAAGACTAAACTATAACTAAAATATATAGAAAATACCAAATATTATCTATTTGGCTAGGACTAAAGCATAGACTATCATAAACCTGAAATATGATTTCTATTTTTTATTCTCAAAAAAAAGATAATTGTACGGTGTCAATTTGGTAATGTATATTAATGATTTAAAATAAGTTTTGGTATTATATGTTGGTATTATTTGTATTGTAAGTCAAATCAATGATTTGGGCAACTCTTTGAAAGATTATAGATCGAGCGAATTTGTTGGAAGAGTTATCTATGGTAACGACATAGACATACACAAATAATTTCCCATAAATAATCATGTAACACATTGATATATACTCGAGTATAACTCTTGGTCTCAATGATAGCTTATTAGCCTATAAACCGGGCAAGTGGTGGTTTTGAGGAAGATATGTGGAGGCAACTAAGCATTGTCAAATGACATCTAAAGTAAATCGAATATGACAGGTTTGGGCCTACCAATCAGTGACGTGATGTTGAAGTCTAAAGACTAACGTGTAAGAATATAATCCAAAGAGCTATATTCCAAAGAGTATAATTGGTCATATGTCTATGATGAATCACATTAACCCTCAATTTTCACCTATAAACAGTATTGTGCAATCCAATTAAAGGCAATCCAAATTGGAATAGCTCTATAGTCTTGCATTGTCTCTCTTTCTATTCTCACGCTCAAAAAATTAATAACAACTAAATTACATGAATTTTCACCTATTCTCTTTCCGTAACTTTGTATTATAGTTTGGTACAAAGTAGTTAGTTTTTATAGACTTTATTCAATATTTAGATTTGATTTAAAATAAATGTAATTTATATAACGGATAATTTACCTAAATAGGACTAAAATATAATGATTTTTTCAATATAAGATCATATGTTTTTATTTTCTAATATAGGATCATTATATTGGTCATTATCTATTAGTCATTATTCAGCTAAATGTCCAGCATGACTTAAACATTATTCTTCTCACTAGTCATTATTAAGTCCTATTTGGGAAATAAAAAAGTTTAAATCTTACATTGGGAAATGACTTATGTTTTAGTCATATTCAGTGCAAATATAATTTACACCATAACTAACCATTAACATTAGTTTTTTCTATAACTTATATGTTTGGACGAATAACAAGATATTTGAATTTATATTTGTTTATTTCTTTCGAATACGAATTTGAATCCGAATATGAGACGAATTCAAAATAAGATTTGAATATGTATTTGATTAGTATTCGAATAGTTTACGAATCTTAAACGAAGATTTAAATAATCATACTCTGTAATTTATATGATGGACCAACATCGATTTGTAATTTAACTTACGATACTTCTTATACTATACTACACTCTGTATCTAAAAACATTAATACATTTACATCTCACACAAATTATATTTTATAAAATATAACTATGAAAAATCATATGCTTTAGATTTTTGTGTGACGTTAATATGTCAATTCTTAGTAATTTAAATGCACTTTATACTATATTAGTTTGTTGAATATTGACGTTGAAAACCTGGTTTGTGTGTATATACATATATTTGAATATTCAAATATCATTCGAATCGAATATATTATTATTTGTATCTGTATTCGTTTAATATTCGAATAAAAAATAATACTTGAATTTGAATAATGCGAATTCGAATCATCATATTCGAATACAAATCACGAATCGAATTTTAAATATTTGATTTTTTTTTACATCCAAGTTTAGGCCAAGGTCTAAATTAAGTACTCGTCATTTGGTTGAGATAAAAATTTCATACTCACTCTCCACTCCCGCCTCTGCGCTCATCCACCCCATGGCACACCCCTCCGTTCCCCATCTCATATTGCCCCCCCCCCCC